GTTCTCTGTTACGGTACACCAAGTTAACATAGCCCCGGAGTTCTGGGATCTGTTTAACACTTGCTCAAGAGTTTACAGCATTTATACATTTTTCCCGAAGGGTCTGACTTCCTCACAGTCCCTGCGGTTGGTTCTGTTTGGAGATTTTTGGCTACAGATTTAAACATCTAAGTGTGGTTTGCCTTTAGAAAACACTGGACTGAGTCAGACACCCTTGATCCCTTTTTATGATCCTACTCAATATGTTGAGAAACCTCCCATCCTCTCCAGGCAAATCTTTCCATCTGTAACAGTGCCACCCAGCACTTAACTGTATTCCAGACTAAAAGGAATGGAGTTAGGGGCACCTGGGTGGCTCAGTGGGTTAAGCCTCTGCCTTCAGCTCAGGTCATGATCTCAGGGTCCTGGGATGGAGCCCCACATTGGGCTTTCTGCTCAGCAGGGAGCCTGCTTCCTCCTCTCTCTCTGCCTGCCTCTCTGCTTACTTGTGATCTCCATCTGTCAAATAAATAAATAAAATCTTAAAATAAATAAATAAATAAATAAATAAATAAATAAATAAATAAATGGAACAGAGTTAATAGACCTGGGAGCCTCTTGGATACTGAAATCAGGGATGTGCCTCATTCTGCTGTACTTTCTTGTGTTTGGACTCGAAAGTATTTCTATTAGTTACTTTTATTTTGATGCAGTTGGAAATATGCTTCAACTACAAAAGAAGAAAGAATGACCTTTCATACTTTCATTTAATAATTGAATTCTGATACAGGCAAATTAAACTGTAAGTGAGAGAAACAAAATCACTGAAAGTACTGAGTGATGTATAAGTTCTTCACACCTCTTTCTGAACCTCATTCTGATCAAGTCAATACTATGTTGCCTTCTAATACCATTACTTTGGATAAAACAATGCATGAAATGTACAGGACAGTCCCCAAAGGGAAGAATGGCACCTAGGAGCACTCACAAAGAGACACATAAACCCTTTCTACACTAAGGCTCTGGATATGAAAACACAAGTTGGGAGGAAGAGGAGGAGGGTGTGAAGAAAGGGTTGCATGGGACTGCAAAGCTCATTTTTTGCCATAAGTTCACTTTTGGCGTGAGGAGGGGGTGGGGAGTGGGGGAGGGCTCGTGTTTGTGTGTTGTTAGCGTGTTGTTAGGAGGTAGTCTTCAATGAAATATAACCATCACGTATTTTCCTTTTAGAGATGGCTTTTAGTTCTGCAGATTCTTTTTAAGAAAAAGAAAAATTATTTAACAATTGTGACTGCTGCTTTGCCTGGTGAATTCACAATAATATGTCCAGGTTTGTACAAAGATGACAAAATGTCTCTCTATTGATTCATCCCGGCTTTCCCCGTCATGTGAGGTCCCCAACTGGAAAAAGAAAGGGGTCCCTTTTAAAAAATTGTGAGAGAAGTGTATACGTTTCTATACCCTCTCACACACATGAGTGTTTGAGTCCTTTTTCCCCCTCATTTTTATTTACCAGTATGTTAAAAAATTAGGATTTATATCCCTAAATATTTATCTTTTATAATTATCATGCAATATGTTATGAAATGCATGGAAGAAATTGATGGTTCAGAGCAAGAGAAATGAGAGCTAGGACAGAGTTATCTGAAGGATGGGATTAATTACAAGGAGGCTTTTTTTTTAAAGATTTTATTTATTTATTTGACAGACAGAGATCACAAGTAGGCAGAGGCAGGCAGAGAGAGAGAAAGGAGGAAGCAGGCTCCCTGCTGAGCAGAGAGCCTGATGCGGGGCTCGATCCCAGGACCCTGGGACCATGACCTGAGCCAAAGGCAGAGGCTTAACCCACTGAGCCACCCAGGTGCCCCTCCAGGGCATATTTCCTACACTGAGGAGTACATACCTTTAAAGTTAAAAGGATGATTTAACCACCAGTTCTTACATATTTTACACCTCAATAGCTTTTGGATCCATGCCAGTCACTCTAGCTGCCTTGTCCCTACCCATATATCTGTCACCTGGAATATTATTAAAAGCCACCTTGGAAGTTATCCTCAGCTGTTCTTTTTTCCTCATGTTCCATATCCAGTACAGCAGGATATCTTGGTTCACTTTCAAAGTTTAATCACGAGCGCGGTCACCCTCTGGTCTGGGCCGCCATCCTCAGCTGCCTGAATGACTGCAATGACCTCTTCCCTGATAACCTTAAACTCACCCGTGTCTACTCTTGATGCCCTTCCAGTAAGGTCCTTTCAGAATGTACCAGACCAGGACTCTCCTCTGTTAAAATCCACCATTAACTCCCCTCTCTCTCGGAGTTAACACCCAAGTCCCTGGAAATGAGTCAGGAGGTTTCGCATGTCGCGTCTTTTGTTCTTTCTCTGACCGCATTTTTTACTTTTTTCCCCCTTGCTCACTCACTCCAGCCACACAGGGCTCCGCGCTCTTCCTTAAACCTAAAGCCGCCACGCTTCTGTTTTGCGACTATTTATTCTGCCTGGAATTCTCCCCCACCAGATATCTGCTTGGCTTAATCCCTCACTTCCTTGAGATCTTTGTTCACACCTTCCCTTCCCAGGGAGGACAACTTCCTCCAGCTAGCTACTTTGGCCTTTCAACAAATCCCTCTCCGTTTTTAAGCACTTCCTTACCTTCTCATGTAAGCAGTTCCCCCAGGCTCCGTCCATACTATTTCTTCAGCTGCTCTCAAGCCTTCATCAAAGTGCCGCGCATCTGTGTGATTCAGTGTGTGGATCCTGTTGGCCATAAAGGATGACATGGGACGGGAGATGCCCAACATTCACCCTTCCACTGACACCTCCTCAAGCAGCAGCTGTCAGTCACGCGTCATCATCCCGAATTTCAGATACCCACAGCACCTGCATAAACTCCTTAAGACTCCGTTACTTTCTGGATTCCATTTGTTGTTGCAAATGTTTTATTAAATTAATTTAAAAATAAGCACATTCATTTATGTCCTCTTGATATTGCGTGGGTTCCTGGCATCTTGGATCATACACCCTTGCACATTTGAAGCCCCAGATTTGGGTATAGTTTCCAGCACTTATTGGGTGTTTAAAAAATATTTGATCAAGAAAAGGAAGGAAGGGCCATCTTATCCATTCTATCAACAATTCAGATAAAAAAATAGGAATGCTTCACTCTGCAGAAATCCTGTGGCCAGTGCCTGGCAAGTTGCTGGTATATTACAAGAGCAACTGAAGGAAAGCTAAAGAGTTTTTCACAATCTGCTCGTTCTGAGATAGAAGCAGTAGTTTTTGTGTGGTGTATTGTCTTTTCAATATTCCCATTGACAACACAATAAACCAGTTAAAAATTATGAGAAAGCATACTTGATGTTACTCCTGTCCAATCCCAAATTTTGGAATTTCAAGAAAACTATTTTATAAAGTGTAATGCTAAATTGAATTTTCCTCATTGAATCAGTACAAAGTAAGTGATAGTCAAGAAATCATGCATAAATATGAAATGAAAACCACAAAACCAACAGATGAATTCTGAGCAGGAAGTACAAAATCCGAGAATTATGCTTACCATGTTTACATGAGTCAGTGACTACCAAAACATTGATGCACTTGTATGCAAACTAAAACAATTTTAAATAAATTAATGTCTAGACTGGGCTTTGGAAATAGCTCCACTTATAACTATAAGAAAAAAGCAAAGTTTAGGATTGTAATTGACTCTGGAAACAGAGAAACAGAAGAGTGGAGGAACATAGATATATTTGATAATAGTGATAAAGCTCTAGATCCAATACCCATGAGGTGTAATCATGAAAGTCTGTTTTGATTATGCTTTTGATTGTGCTTTAAACCTTATATCTTTAGTAAATGGCTTTGTTTTGCATGCATTGATTATTACATAATAAAATAGTACATAGTCAATATTTTGAAAACTAGTGGTCTAGTATATTAAGTCTTTGGTTTTCTCATATGTTAAATGGGGACAATAATCCTCATTAGATTGTCTTTAAAATTATATGAAATAATATATAAAAAATCTGCAATGTGGTACCTGGCACATACGTATATATTATTAACCCTGCATGTATGTATATAAGTGATTTATGCTAATCTTTGTTCCAATTTTTAGCTTTTAAAAGTGTAACTTAGGGGATGCCTGGGTGGCTCAGTTAGTTAAACCTCTGCCTTTGGCTCAGGTCATGATCCCAAGGTCCTGAGATCAGTCATGCATTGGGCTACCTGCTCAGCGGGGAGCTTGCTTCTCCCTCTGCCTGCCGCTCTCCGGCTTGTGTTCTCTCTCTCTTGTTAATAAACAAATAAAATATTTTTTAAAAAGTGCAGTTTAGTTTTTAGTAAGTTTCAAAACATCATGTATAATTAACATTGCATTTGAATCCATCTTGAAATGTTTTAGACATATAACTACTTGATGAAAGTGACTACATCAGTAATATATTTATCTTAGTAAATAAACTAAACAGCCTTCTCTAAAATGCGGGAAAAATATCAAAATATGCTCTGCATGCATCTAGTGTTACTGGGGTCCTGATGGCTAGCTGCAAAAGTCCTTGCCACAAATTAACTGACAATTGAATATTAACAATTCATGTAAAACATTAAGCTGGAAATTTTGGACATAAGATGAGTCATGTTTGATTATGAATTGTGAGGTATTCACACTACAATTAGACTGTCTACCTTCTTACCTACAGAACATTTACAGGAAAGACTTTCTAGAGTAAGTTCTATAATTCTGTCTTATTTCTACATCTGTTCCTGAGATAAAAATCATAAAATATATAATAGAGTGGACACAATCAAATCCAGTCTCTCTCATTTACTTTGAAAAGTCTGTGAATTCACTCAAAATATAACTTGGTATATTTTAACCAAAATATATACTCAGATAAATAAGCTAAAAATAAAAACAAAACAAAACAAAATTAAATAAATAAACAAATAAACAAGAGAAAAATATACATATACTCAGACCATCCAGTTTAGTTCTAGGCTGCATTCTTTCAAATGATGTTAGGCTCTCCTCCCTTCTGACCACTTCTCCCTCTGCAAAAACAAGGAAGATATTGCTCCTTTTAGGGCTGGTTTTGAGGCTCAATTCAGAATCAGTTGAGAAAAGTCAGAATGGATATGTTTAGATCTTTCCATTGAAGATGAAATTAATTATTGTCATCATCCCATGATATTGTGAGTAAAAGCAGTGATGTTAATGCAAGTCGTTATTATGTCCTTACCACATATTCCAGGCAAAATGTTCAGCACTTTACCTATGATCTCATTGAATTCTCACAAAAACCTCCCTTCACTAAGGAAGTATGATTATCTGGAAATGACTTATCCAAGCTACACTGCTATTATGTTAAACTAGAATACCAGACTTCTGACTCTAGCCCTAAGACTCTTAACTGCTAATACTACAATATGGTGGTTCTTATATGCTCTGTTCCACCATATTAATTCTTTTACCATTAATTCTTTTACCATTTATTCAAATAATCAATCACCAAGAATTTCTTCTAGCATTACATTACATAGCCTGGAAAGACTTTTCCATTGTCTGAAAGGAAATTTTTGAGGCTCCATCTGAAGACTTCAAGGATTCTTAGATAAGAGGAAGAAATAATGAATTAGTCATGATATGACAAAACCTTTCATCTGACAGGATCTTTCCTGACAGGATCTTTGAGAATGTATAATCTGTAGTTTTGCTCTGTGTTTCAGGTGGAAAAAGAGGAGGAAAGGGTTCTGAAACTGTTTTGTAAGTACTCAGGTAAAGCCAAAAAATGATTAATTGTTAACTAATCAATTTCTAAAAGAGAGAAAAAGTAGAGATTAGAGATCTTTCTCAGCCTAGCATGCTAGGCCATGTACTATTTGAGAAGTTCAACGTCAATAGGATGATTTATTTACCTCTTTCATTCAGACTAGTCTTGAAGAAAAATATCTTTCTTGCCCATTACAAACATATGACGCTTGCTTTTCTCTCTTCTAGCCAAAAGCACGCTGGTTATTAAAGGGACCATCTGCACTTTGGATTATTATCACCATGGATTCTTGCTGCAGAATCTTCTTGTTGTTTGATTCATTTTCCAGGAGTGCAGAGCCAGGAAGGCTATGGATGTGGGGCCACCTGGTGACGGATGAAGAAAAGTCCTGGAAACTGAACACTGAGATTAGAATTTGGGTTTCCATTTCTAAACTGTTCATTTTCAACAAATACCTTCTGCAAAAGGGTATCCTGTGGCAATAACTGATTTCTGCTCATGAAGAGATGGTTACTATTATTACCATATACTCAGTTACTTACTGACCTGTTTCTACGTGCCAGCCACTGCCATAGGCAGTCTGCACATATTCTATCATTTAATGCTCAGAGAGATCCTAGTAAGTGCCATCACATCACCATTCTACAGACGAGGCAACTGAGACTTAGAAGAAATAAGTAATTCATTTAAGTTCATGAAGAGAGCAAGTGTGATCTGAGGAAGACTCAAAATATTCTGCTTGAAAATGTGGAAAGAAATGTCACTCTATATGAAAGTGCAAAATTACACAAAAATATTAAGAAGTAAGTCAACATATTTACCTTTTTGTAACATTTTAAAGCTTCAAATTGCATCTTTCTTTAAATATTTTATTTATTTATTTGACACAGAAAGAAAGAGAGCCCAAGCAGGGAGAGAGGGAGAAACAGACTCCCCATTGAGCAGGAGCCCAACTCGGGGTTGATTCCAGGAGCCTGAGATCATGACCTGAGCTGAAAGCAGGTGCTTAACTGACTGAGCCACACATGTGCCCCTCAAATTGCATCTTATTAGTGTATTTTGGATTAGAGACTGTTTTTATAAAAATACAAATGATTAGGAAAACATTAAAAATGTTCAAAGAATCATAAGAACTGATAATATGAATAAATTCAATAGTGTAGAAATTTAAAAAGCATAAATGTATTACATTCCCCATACCCCTAACCCTATGATCTTATTTTTTACCTTTATCTATGTTATGTTACAAGAGGGTGTGTGTATATGTGTGTGTGCATGTGTGTGTGTGAAAGCAAAGAACAGATACTTTGTGGCTAAAATGAATACTAAGTACCCTTGGATTCTATTTTCAGTGTGCTGAAATTATTAGTGAATCATGTGCTCTGTTTCTGTATTTCTATAGAAATTCCTTCAGGGATTTCAGGTGATCTCTTCAAAAGTAAAGTCATTACTTTCCCCTTATGTCGTTATCTGTATTTCCTGTCTCCAATGATAGCAGCGAACATGGCATTCCCCTGCCCAGATGCCACTTCAAGGAAGAAAACTTGCTGTTTCAGCTGCAGACACTTGCCTTGACCGAAGTCAGACCCTCCCTGGAGAACACTGCCTCCAGTGGCTCAGTGAGGGTATAAAGATGGGTCATTTCAGCTCTAGGTGGGAGGACAGTATTTGCTCAGGGAGGGGCTGGGGGCTTATCGTGCTGGGTTGTCTAAGTCTTAAATAGGGTCTGCATCACAATGCACCTATTCTCTTCAGCCCAATCCTGTTGCCTCCCCCTTCTTTTCATAAGTTTTGATCCCTAACATGCCTTCAAATTCAAAATCATTTCACAATCTGCTTCCTATTTGTGTGTGTGTGTGCGTGTGTGTGGTCAAAAAACACATAAAATCTATTACCTTAACCATGTCTAAGTGGACAGCACAATAGTGTTAACTATATGCACTTTGTTGTACACCAGATCTCTAGACACTTTTCATCAGCATCTGTTTCTTGAGAAGCCAATCTGTGACAATACTTTAATGGTCTAAATCCTCCTCAGATGTGTTGGCGTGCTGCTCTCATTTCTGGTCATACCCTGGAAGGTCTGCCATATGAAAATGCGGTGGTGAAAAACATGGCGGACAACATATACTGCAGAGTGTTTGCAATGAACACATCCTTTTCTGTGGCATCTGTGAGAATTCCCCATACAAATTGAAGATTGGAGTGTTTCTTTTTCTAGCCCACATGAGAAATAGATAGGAACTGGAAGGCTTTGTCCTGGGAGCCTCTAAGCAGCCTGCTGAAGGTTTTTGCTTGTTTTTGTTTTTTGTTTTTTTTGTTTTTGTTTTTAATTAGAGAGAGGCCAAAAGCAACGTGGCAGGTACCAAAGTTTTTGACTTAAATCTTTCCTGAAGTCTTGAGCATGATATTTGGAGTTTTGGAGTAAATTATATTTATTCCAAAGTGAGGTCACGTCAAAACTCCATGCTTTGGTATCTGTATCTCTAAAATGGGGAGTTTGGGCTATTATAATCATTTCAATTTCAGTGTGGTAATTTAAAGATGGTGGAAAATTTTTTGCTACTCCTTCTTGAGAAGAGGAATCTAATCCCATCCTCTTGATTCTGAGTTGATATTAGTGACTTGCTTAACAACTAGGACGAGGCACAAGAAATGTGGCATGAATTCTGAGCTAGAACAGACAAAGCCTGAGGCTGCACCTTGATCTCTAGGACCATTCTCTGTGGGAGCCTCTGTGCAAACCAGCATTTTTGGGGGAAAGAGACCAGCACTTTTCTGAGCAGCAGGGTTGGAGGGAGGAATTACAAAGGGACAGGAGGAAACTTTTGAGGGTAATGGATATATATATGTATTCATTATCTTGACTCTGACGATGGTTTCAGAGATGTATACGTATATCAAAGTTCATCAGATTATAAATTTTAAATACGCAAAGTTCTTGTAAGGAAATTATACCTTAATAAAGCTATAAAATGAGAGACATTGGTGAGCTCAGAGAATTTCCCTAGGAACCAGAAAGTTGGATCCAGTGGATCCAATAGCTGGAAAAAAAAAAAAAAAAAAAAAGGCACCTGAATTTCACAGTAGAATTAGGCTCACAAAGGTAACGCAACTATCCTTCGTTGGTCGGAGACACCACGGATTGCGTAATTAACCTCTGGACTCCTGAAAAGTGGTTACTTTTATGAGAGTGATTGTTTTTGGTACTGCCTCTGACAAGGGATGCCTCTGCCCTCACCCATTGCCAGGTTAATTCAGCTCTTCCAAGTGAGTCTCACCACAGACCACCTTGTTTGTTGGTACTGAATCCTACTGGGACCTCTTAGATAAGTCCAGAAGCAACTATTTAATTTCATAAAAGCCTTATTGAGCAAGAAAAAGTGGTTTTCTCCTTATCTTCAACAGCTCTTAGAACCTGGCATTATCATCTCACCAGCCAACCATGATACCCTGGCTTCAAAGAAAGCTGAACCAGTCATGAGAAAGCATGGAAGTTAAATATTTGTCAGCCTGAGTTGATCAATAAGAGTAGGGAAACCCACACGCAACCACAATTTTTTTTTTTTCAGGACTTTTTGCACTATGACAATCTGAAGGACGCTCTGATAATAAGTAGAATAACTGTACTGGCCAATGTTCTTTAATAGATGTTCTTAGACTATTGGTTTCTAACAAAACAATCCTCTAAGGTTATTGGCCTTGCGTTACTCAGTGTTATGGTTTCTTGCTTCCTTTGTACATATCAAGTATCCTTTTTATCCAAAAAATATACCTTGGCTCTAGCACAAAGCTTCTCCTCTAATTTGTCCTTCTATTTCCCAGGTACTTAGGTTTCCCCTAAATAAAAGCTGTTTGAATCCTACTCATGGAGTTTTCTATAATGATGACCAGGAGAGAAAAAGAGTGTGCTTTATTTTCTTTTCTCCCTATCTCTATCTTCTATTGAGATAATGAATTCTCACTGGTCTACTGTGGCACTAAATGTCAGGACTTTTTAAAAAAATAGGAATATTCTTAGCTAATGCTCTTTCTTCCTGCCCTATTAGTCACACGACCAGAGTTACCAGCTCCATCTTAGTCTTTCTTAAAACAGAGACTATTGTCTTAAATCACTGATTTGTTCATTCATTCATTCATGTATGGGTCCAAGATCGTCGTCAAGTAGCTGGGACTAACCATGCTGACTAGATTCCATCAGGTTATCTTTTACTTGAGCATATGCCTGGCTTCTTTTCTACCCTTTTGCTACTCAGATAAACTTTAGCAAGTTATTAAGCTTCTTTGAGCATCAATTTCCTTATTGACAAGATGAGGACACCAACTGCTTTGTGATGTTATCGTCAATAGTTAGTAAGATGTAAACTATCTGACACAAATTAGACATACAATAAAAATGGGTAAATTTATTCTAGGTCATGTAGTCAGAGGATTTTCTCTGCTCCATTTAGGTAAATTTCATTTCCTTATCCAACTGATTAAATCATCAGTTGTATTTTTCTCCCTCCTTCCACTGAAAGTCTAGGAAGTCTAGTCTTGCTGTACCCAACCACTGGTTAATGGGTAATCAAAAGTCAGGCTCAGGAACAAGTACCTACACGGTAAAGCACTGGATTAAGAAAGAGTAAAGAACTTTCTGTTCTTTCTTTTTTTTTCCAGAGACATTAATACTCTTAGATTTACTGCTTTGCTCTACATTTTCAGTTATCAAAAAGGCAAAACTACTATTGCTATTCTTTTCTACCACTGAAGAGGGAAAGACATGAATGAAACCTTTTAAGGAGCAGGAAAAAAAGGCTTAGTGCAATTCCAGCAAGTGATGGAGCTGACATCTGAAACCTCTTATTAGTTGCATGAGAAATGAAGAATTTTAATTGAGAAAAATCAACTCACCTCCTCAAAACTATCTAGAAACTTCTGGATCCATTTCCACTGTAGAGCCAAGTAGAGGTCTCTTCAAGAATAAGCTTCACACTAAAATAATGAGATTTTTGAGATGAATTATTTCTCTGCTTTTAGATAATCCTTTGCCATAATCCTTTGGGGTTCCCTGGTGAACCGAAATGATCCTAACAGGATTTCTTCACCATTTTCCAGAAGCCATGGGCATCTCACTTATATTGCCAAAGGCTGTTGGACCCAGTCGTCATGGTGAAAGGAACTCCCAGGTTATGTGGAGTCAGATTGCTGGGGGTCAGCCAACATGCGCCTGGGGTTGCTGCAATCACACTAGCTCTGATTCAAATTTAATTCTTATTTCAGAAACTTTCTCCTGCTTCTCTAATTATTTTAATTCTGCAGAATGGATGTTAGCCTGTCTCCAAACTGTGTCTTGGAGTTTGCTTCTATGAAAAAATGAAACCTTCGCTCTAGAATTCAGAAGTAAGGGTTCACAATAGCTAAAACAAAACTGATGTCTGTAGCATGTAACCTTTCATGGGGACAGACATTTTTTTTTTCTTACTGTTTTGTTTACCATGAATACCCAGCACCTAGACATTCTACATTTGCAGAAGCATAATAACAGACATTTTTAAAAGCATTTACATGATTTCCCAATTTTTATAACATGAATTATTCTGAATCTTTCTTAATTCTTCGATACATTTGGGATGGAAAGGAGTAGACTGTGTCCTCATGCACTGGCATTGAGATGTTACACTCACACTTGGTCCAAAGGAAACAGTGGTAACAGTAAGGGTATAGGGACTGGTTTCATCAAAGGACGCAGCTCTGTTAGATACCCTTTAAAATCCAATGTGATGATCTTGAGGACTGTGGAAAATGTCTTAATTTTAAGAAAGAGTTTGCAGCAAATAAAGACCTAATTTTTGGCCAGCCCTTGATATCAATCTCCTTTTTTTAGAAAAGTGATTCTCATTGACTCTTTTAAATACATTTCTATATAAAAACTAATATTTGTAAGTTTTTAAAATTAACATGGAAGCTCCATATGGCATTTTTTCCTTCTATTTGATTTTGCAGAATCTTCTGGAATATCATAACACTATTTATAGGAGGTAAGCTATGATCTCATCAATAAAGAAGTCACCTTCGGAAAAAATTAATAGAAACATACAACTATGTCACAGTGCTATCATATATATATATATATATATATATATACAAATATATATATTAATTAATGCAAATAAAAGAAAAAGAGCAAGTTAGAAACCACAGGCTAAAAATACAATATTATTGGGATGCCTGGGTGGCTTAGTTGATTAAGCATTTGCCTTCAGCTCAGGTCATGATTTCAGGACCCTGAGATCTGATTGAGTCCTACATCGGGCTTCTTGATCAGCAAGGAGCATGCTTCTGCCTCTTCCTGCTGCTCCCCCTGCTTGTGCACTCTCTCTCTCTTTCTGGAAAATAAATAAATAAAAATTTAAAAATTATATATATATAATATTTTTTATAGAGCAGGATTTTATAAAGCGGGATCTCAGGAGGGTCTAGGATGCATCATGGGTCTTCAAAGCCAGCAGGAGATGATAGTTTTCTGAGCCTTTGTTAACAGAACCCTGAATAAAAATACAAGGGTTCAATATCTGGTTCAATATTAAGAGACAATTTTTATGAACTATGGCTCTCTAATTATATATGGATATAGATACACATAGTGAGACATGGGTCTATAAAATTCAACTAATATTCAGACATATAAATATATTTCTTATAGAGCAAGATCTGATTTTTAGCAACCAGATGTCTACATCAATTCAAATCTTACCTTCCTTAGAGGTCTAGAGATAGAGACTAAAAAATTCCAAAATCTAATTTATATCAAGGCCAGCTGACTTATGCATTAGGTACAGTAGACACAGTGCAGAGCCCCCACAATAAATTTTATGACCCATAAAAATATTTCAGTTTCTTTTAAGATGAAAATAAAGAAGATTTAGAGTTAGACTTGCTTTTTTCTCACAAAAGAGAAAGATGCCTAAAACAAAAGAAAAAGTTGAAGTACTTCAAGTTATGTCAAAAATAATGTTTACCATTTAGATGATTAGGATGGGAAAGCCCCATAAAGGTAAGAGTGTCCAGGGCCCATGAAAGTCCTTTGGCAACCCTGTCAACATTCAACGAATGAGAACAGAGATTTGTTTGTTTGTTTGAATACAATTAACATTTGTTATCAAAGCATCAGGCAAGAGAAAACTCTATTGATCAGAAGGTGTGCCTACCTTCACGCGGTGCAACAGAAAGCAAGAAACTGCCAAGAGAGCAATAGAGCAACGGTCAGCTTGAAAGTTCTATTTACACTGGATCTCTTCCTCCAGTTCCCTGCGGCCCCTAGACCTGTATGCTTAGCTGTCTCTGAGGACTTGGGCTGGCTGAGGAGGCTTTTCAGATTATTGCAACACTAACATGTGGGGGCCTTCATCCTTGCACTATGTTACTGGAAATTACACCAAACCCAATACGCCCCCCTGCCCTTTGAAACGAACCCTGAGAGAAACAAACACTCCTAGGACTCTTAACAGATTTTCAGCATGCTTAAATATTAACCTGAGTTCGTATAAAAACTACTTGTTTAATGTGTATGTCTTATTCTGTTTGGGCTGCTATAACAGAAACATCACGGACCAGGTGGCTTGAACAATAAACATTTATTTCTCAGAGTTCTGGAGCCTGAGAAGTCCAAGAGTAAAGCACTGCTAGATCCTGTGTCTGATGAGAAACTCCTCCTGGTTTTAGAAGGCCGCCTTCTTGCTGTGTCCTCACACGATAGAAGGTGCAAGAGGGCTCTCTGGGGTCTCTCTCTCTCTCTCTTTTGTTTTTTTAATATTTTATTTATTTGACAGAGAACACAAGTAGGCAGAGAGGCAGGCAGAGAGAGACGGGGAAGCAGGCTTCCCTCGGAGCAGAGAACCTGATGCGGGGCTCGATCCCAGGACCCTGGGATCATGACCCGAGCCAAAGGCAGAGGCTTTAAGCCACTGAGCCACCCAGGTGCCCCTGGGGTTTCTTTTATAGGAAAACTTATTTTTTAAAAAATCTCATTCAGGAAAGCTCCACCATCATGACTTCATCACTTCCCAAAGACCCCACCTCCAACTACCATCACATGGGGGTTAGGTTCAGTGTATGAATAGGAGAGGGGAGCACAAACATTCAGCTCATAACAGTACACCTGTCTCAATTTGATTATCTGTATTTATATCCCTCAATTTCATAATATTTTATTTTGAAGTACCTTTAAAGTTACAGAGGAGTTGCAAGAAAAGAATAAAGAATTCTAGAAAATTCTTCACCCAATTTCCCAGGAACTCCTAAAAACGAGAAAATGTTCTTATATAGCTAGTTACAATGATCAAAAAGAGAAAATTAATGGTGATTGAATACCATTATTTAATCTATAGACTTTATTCAGCTTATGACAATTGTCTCAATAATATTCTTCATGTGTCAGATGGATAGCTGGATAGGTTGGTAGATGGATGGACAGAGAGAGAGATGCTGAGATAAAACTTCAGGATTTAAATCTAAGATCACATATAGCATTTAGTTGTCAATATCTAATAGCTGGTCTCCTTTATTCTGGGAATAGAGTCCCCTCAGTTTGGATTTATCTGATGTTTCTTCATGATTAGATTCATTTTGTGCAGCAATATTTCAGTGTGATATTGTGTACTTCTCAGTGCATCTTCTAAGAGCCTTACTTCCATATGCACAAGTAATAATTACAAGGATTTTGAACCCTAGCAAAAGTTTCAGTTTATGTCTGGGGAAAAAAACAGTTGTTGAATGAAACTTCTTTGATCGGTTCCCACTGCCGTTCTTATTTTACAAGAATCATGTCAGTTTCTGGGTATAATGAGCACTGTCCAAGAGCCCTTGCCATCGTTAAAATTAATAAACACTTTATTTTGATAGTACTTCTGCTGTCTTCCAGAGCACAACGCAGCAGTAAGCAGTTGCTCACAGAAGGTGCACGTGTGCGCATGCGTGTGTGTGTGTTTGTGTGTGCGTATGTGTTTGGGGGAAGGAGAGGTGAATTTATATTAAAGCACTCACTAATGAAGCCAGGCAATTGTTATAAGTATTTGGTTTTTCATGTTTTTAACTTTCGTATTTTTTCTGAATTTAATCATTTATTAACTTGATAATGTCACTTAATAAAACCAGGGTTATTAATTATTTAGTTAAGTGCTTTTTCATCTTGTTATGTTCCAGGCATTGTGGTACATTCTGTGAATACAACAGGAATAAGATCTAATCTCTTCCCCTCAGACCTCGCAGTCTAGTGAGCGACCGGACAGACGAGTCAAGTGCAGGGGTAGACCGCTGTAATGGGTAAGTACAGTGGCCATGAGAGCACGAGAATGGGAACTTTCAGCCATCTAGAGGGAACTGATATATGAACTGAGACCTTGGTCTGAGTGTCGAGTCCATAAGGCAGACGCGTCATGGAGAAGAGAAGGGAGAGGAGAGGGTTTTTAACTGGATGGTCTCTGTCCTACCCACCCTGTCTCTCCTCAGAGGCAGTTCTGACAAGGGAAGTGACTACAGAAAATTGGAACCACTAACTAACTCTCCTTAGAAAGAAACCACCCCCAAAATGGGAACTTCTGAATACCCAGTAAAGCTATTGACCCTCTCTAGCAAATATATTGTATTGCCCATTTTTATCATCACTGCCACCAGTTTTATTAATATAATGATGGGAATTCTGGTTCCTTTTCTAAAAGCTCAGGAAAGAATAAGCAGGTGCCAACACAGTGAATGAGTGGATATGTACCTCAGTGCTCTGTTTTAGCACATTCAAACTCTCAGCAAAGGGGAACAGCCAAGGCATCAAGTGCTCTGAGTCAGGGAGGGGCTGGACAGAGACTGGGCGGCGCTGGATGACTGGCCCCAGCTCTGACTCAGCAGGGCAGCGGCTACCCAAGAGATCGGTCTCAAAGACCGCTGCTCTCCTCAGCCCAGATCCGTCTAGCCTCCCCAGCAGTCACAGTTAAGCCAACGGTCAGTCAGGAGAACACAACTTTGTTAGTCTCTTACCCCAGCTCTCATCCCTTGTTTACTCCCCCATCTGCTATACATCAGCCTGGATGCCATCGTCTATAATTCTAGAAGTTGTAGAAACTTCTAGAATAGGTTAAGTTAAAGAAGCTCCTGTAAGAATCTTAACGCTATTTCTCTTTATGGAAACATTCTTACTTCTCATATACCATGAAGTACATCTTCACAGCTTTGAAATGTCTCTTTTCTTCTTTCCTCCTTTTTCTCCTTCCTTCCATCCTTTCTTTTCTTCTTGCCATTTGACATAGTTCTACATCACAAATACTATTCCTTCTGAGCATAGAAAAGTATGAAAAAGAAAGTAAAAATGATGCCTCACCTCACTATCTGGAGACGAAGGCTGTTAAGATTTTGATAGATTTCATTTCAATCTGGTGTGCTCTGTATATGCTACAATTTTATGTCCTGGTTATTTCACCTTCTATTGTGTCATCTGTATTTCTTAACATCAGTCAATACTGAGGGGCGCCTGTGTGGCTCAGTTGGTTAAGCGTCTGCCTTCGGCTCAGGCCATGATCTCAGGGTCCTGGAATCGAGTCCCGCGTCGGGCTCCCTGCTCTGGGGGGTCTGCTTGTCTCCCTCGCTTTCTGCACCCACTCCCCGACTTGCTCAAGCACGTGTGCATGCACTCTCTAAAATAAATAAATCTTTAAAAAACATCAGTCAGTACTTCTACTGAATGATCATCCTGTCAGCATTTCTACTTCTACTTGTACTTCCACTTGCGTTTGTGACACATTCCAACACGTGACTTTTTAAAAATTCCATCATGAATCTCTTCTCCCTTCCTAGGCCTCCTGCACTAGACTGAGTCCTCCTTTCGCTCACCTAGTTCACCACAGAAATCTCCTTCATGGCCTAACCTCCAGCTTTCCCTCTCTCCACCTCGCTCGGTTTTGCCAAGTGAACTTTCTAAAATAGGACTCTGGTCATGTCTTTTCCCAGCTTTAGTCTCCAGTGTCCACCCCTTGCTGTGGTCTTTGGGATAAGTTTATATTTTCATCCTGATGAAAGTGTTTCTCTGCTTGGCCCCTTCTGGCCACCTCTCCAGACTCCTCTTCGGATCTGTCTCTCTTCCCTGCCTCAGCGTCCATCTTTTAAATTCTCATACCTCTGAGTCTTTGTTCATACTCTTCTGTCTGGTATACCTTTTCCATTACTTTGCATGACAAGAAATTCTTTACATCCTTTCAAATTCAACCGAGATAGCACCACTGCTTGGAAACTTCCCTAAAGTTCTTCTTTCAACCTCCACCTCACCATATGGGCTAAGATCTCAAGGTTTTCTCTTCCCGGCCTGTAAACAGTCCTATCGCAGACTGAAGTGACTTCTTGGGGTTTTTTCCCCTTAACAACAGGAGCTAGATTTGAATCACAAGCACCTCACGCAGAGTGAACCCTCAAGACAACTCTCCTGAAAAGTTATCCTGTCTCAGCAGCCAGGAGTTCCTGGTCTGAGGCCAGTTTCCTTCTGTTGACTCCGTTACAATGTCGCATGCCTAACGCATGACTCATGGATTCTTGGACAATGTCATTTCTCCAAATGGCTATGAAGCCTTGTCCACTTGCGGAATTTCCCAAGGATTTCAGAATCTCCCTTTAAATTCCCTTTTCTCCAACATTTCTGTCACAGATGCCTCTAGAGAAAAATAGTAATAGGGCATTGTTACCCTGAGCATAAATCAGCTACTGAAAAAATTCCCCACATTAATTTTGCTTTAAGAAAAGGAAACCAAATGAAAGTTTGTTTAGAAATATAATGATTTAAAATGTTTACATGCAAATTTTATTGTAGTAAATGTGAAAGTGGTTTGGGTGGAGATCCGGAAGGACAGATAAAAATCAAAACATCACTTTAGTGTCAAGAAAAAAAAAAAAATCTCTTTAAACCTAACCTGATGATAGTTTTTCATAAAATCATTCTGGTGACCTAGACTTGATTCACGCTTTTATGAACATACAACAGAATCTTCTCATATTTGTTACTGTTACCAGTTACTAGGGGCATAGTTATTACCCCAAACAAAAAGATGAACATTGGTACAAGCTTTTTAAGGAATGATGTCACCGTCACCGGGGAAAATGAGAACTTTATGGCAACCATGGGTGGACGTATCATGAAGCTACTTAGCTTGAACTCCAGGACCCTCCACTAGGTCAGCCTTTTTTCAAGGCTTTGACAGGGGCCCTAGCAAGGCTTCTATATTTTTATAAAATTTCCTGTTGTATTTTAACCAAATTGTTTAGGACTGCT